CGACAGCAGCCGCTCTACCGAAAATAAGGACTATATTTTTGCAGACCTCAGAAATAAAACATTAAAGGAAATAGTGCGAAACTTCAATTTCTTTTAGTTTGTAAGCCAAAAGACCTTTTTTTCATTTTTAGACCTTAATAATTTGGTGCACACAGCACAGAATACAGCGTTGTATAGCTCTTCAAAAGCTCTATCAACTGACTATAGTTAAAATTCTTTATAATCACAAACGATTGAGGGAGAATCGTTTTTCTTTTTTCGATTTTGTGACAAATGGTTATTTCTAAACTATAGTTGTAGAGCATTTATGAAAATTTTTATAACTCAGCCAAAATCAAACATTGCGAGATCAAATTTGTTTTATCTTAAAGCAAAAGAATTTTTCTACTATTCTCGACCAGAGAAAGCTCAATAACTCCATTTCTTTTCCTTTGATGAACAAGACAAAATTTTATAGCTAGCTAGCAGCACAGTGCTTCTCACTCTTTTTCATGGCGTCCACGTCTCAAGAATCGTCAAAGTCTGTTATTTCTTTAATCGTTATGTGGCGAAAACTTTTCTTATTTTTCACACGATATACGGAAAGAAAGGCGACACTTTGGAGCATCAGAACATCTATTTTGATTCTACTTTCATGCCAGCCACCGTGTTTAAAATATAAGCTTTTCTTTCGTTTTACTTTAGGTTAAAAAGCAATGGAGATCAAAGTTTCACTGTATTTCCTTTAATTTTTTATTTTTGAGGTCTACAAAAAACATATTGCTTATGTTTCTGTAGGGCAGCAGCTGACGATACAATCTAGATGATATAAGAGAACAGGAAGATGAACTGTTAGTTTATTGCACCATTGTATCTGATGGAGTCCTGCCTCTATAATTTATCGCTACTACACCGTTGTTCGCTCAGATTTTAGGAGACACTGGCTTCGCTGAGAATTCGGGAATATATCGAAATTGCTGTGTACTTCTTCTGAATTGCGATGTGGCTCTTTATCCACACTAGCTTTTCCTTTTCAGATATTGTGGCGTAATGAAAAATTGATTACACTATGTTCTTGAAGAAAAATCCGAGTAAAACAAGGTGAAATCAATTGTAGAAAACGAGCTACAAGATGTGTCAATTATACAGAAATTCTTTGGATATGCCATTAAAGTATACGTATACCTCAAGTGTTTTGCATGATTAAGAATCTCATACCCATGGAGATCAACCTTGATTCGATTTATGCATAAGAAAAAAACTTCAGTACTTGCCGTTCCTATCTGCGCTCCTTAATCAGGGAGAAATAAGATAAGATGTATAATTGGTGCGCGCAAGGGGTAAGAATAAGGAATTTATTTAACTAAGTGCATAATAATTCAACTCAGTGAAAACAAAGTTGAGTTTTTTTTAAACGTAAAAGCACACTAGCCCACATTTTTTTTCTTTAGGCAAGATTGCGCATTGTAGGTGGAAATTTGGAACATGTAAAGCGCACCGTTGTTTCTAAAAAAAGAAATGGAAGAAAATAAAGTGGCACTTCTTGCCCAAGAAACACAAGATCTCGGGATATTTCATAAAGCGAGATCTTGGCCAAAAAAATGAAAAAAAACTTTCACTTGGAAGTGAACCTTTTTTTTGTTTGATAGTTAAAACATAAATGCACAAAGTGACACCATTTTTTTGAGTTTTATTTTCGTTACTGAGAAAAGTACTAGGAAGAGTAGAGGCACTTTTCTGACCTTTGAACTTAAAATGTATGCGAGAAAGTAATGAAGACGAAATCAACAAAAGCATCTGCCACTTTTTAGATTTAGATGTCTAGTTTCATTTAAAGGAAACTCGATTCATTTAGAACAAAACCTCATCCTTCTGATGCTATTCTTTTAAAGCTTATGTCATTTTTTATTTAAATAGAGTGAAAAAATACTATGAGTTCGTATAAATCGGTAGACAACGTGTGATAAATCGACTATCTGCTCACACAAAAAACAAAATTAAATCACATTTTTTTCAGTCAAATATTTTCTATCTCTAGAAAAAATCACTACTTAATACTCTTTCCAATGATCTTGTAATAGTCTTCATCGGTTATTTGAAATGTGGCCTCGAGTGGTATTATCTTCTCTCTAGAAGTTAAAAAAAAGCTCTTTTCCTTTAACAACAAAAACATCTAGCTATTTAACAAACCTTTTACTATCAAAAAATTGCACACTTAACGATTTTTTATCAACTTGAATTATAGTAGCTGGTTTGTACTCTGTTTCATCCAATGCTAATACTTTGTCTTTATTTTGAAAGGTACCTTGTCTTGTAAATGCACCATACAATTGCGATATGTCTAAAATTGATAGAAATGTATCAAATACAAATAAACAAAAGGAAACTGCGCTAACGCTGTACCTCGAATGTCTTCAGTGCCATCATACCATTCGATGCGATAATGATGACCGTCTTCGACACGTTCTTTCACCGTTCCTAAGAGGAAAAACTTCTTCGTGATTTATTAAAACATTGGACGCGTATATAGATTGAACAGTTACATCGTGTTTTTAACTAGACGCTGTCATAAAACAATTTTTTTGACATTCATATCAAAGGTCATCATAACCGTGAATCCGTTCTTTTACTACTTTTTTCTATTTAAATTACTTTCCTTGCATCTAAAGCTCTACTCCCGATAAAACCATCCCAGATGTCCAATCGCTTTTATCCTCGAACAGGAAATTTTTGATACTGATTACGAATCAAATATCCGCTTATGCCCATATAATTTTCGAAGTGATCTACGAAAACTGAACTCTGAAGATCCAACTTAAAATTCAGGAGAAAGAGATTTTAATTTGACTCTCTTGTGCAGAGTATGTCGAGTTACATGTATGAAAAAATCTTCAAACATAGATAGAATCCTGGCTGAGTTGAAGGAATTTTACTCTAATAAAAGATGAAAACCCAAGGCTATGCAGTAAATAGAGATGTACTTCCACCTTTATGTTTGAAGGTTTTTTCATATATGTAACTCGACATACTCTACAAAACGGACAAATTAAAATCTTTCTTCTGAATTTTAAGATAGATTAGATCACTCCAAAAATTATATGGGCATGAACAGATACCAGATTCATAATCAGCATCAAAAATTCCCTTTGGCCATGTATGTTCGAGGATAAAAGCGATTGGACATCTAGGATGGTTTTGTAGAGCTTTAGATAGAGGAAAGTAGTAAAAGAACAGATTCATGGTCATGACCATCTTTATGAACAATAGGACCTTATTAGCTTACGCAAATAATGGATTTTAATCAGTTTTATTGCTTTTCGAAATCAATAGTCACTAGTCGAAGATGAACAAAGCAAAGAGTGACAATTTAAATTTTACTATCAATCTCAACCAAGTTGAACTCAAACGTGTATATTCAAAAAACCCTACCTAGCATATAAGTCTTAGTTTCTCCTTTTCTTCCCACTACAACTTGATGAACGATTGATTTTTCTTTTTGTATAATGCAATCCACGTATTGTTCAAATTTTTTTTCTGGGATTTTAATAACTTCCTTTGCTTTCATATCCATTTGGACTACTTTACAATCGTAGAATCTGACAGTAATTTCGTCCTTATTTTCTTTTGTTGTCCTGTTTGGTATCAATACACCGGGTGCCCAATATGACACATTACGTGAATACAGTGCTAGTACAAATTCACCCTACAAAAATACAACCAGAAACGGGTTTAGTTTATTTTTCTCTACGAGCATATTACTTCTTTCAGATCAAGGCCAAAATGTTTAGATTCATAAATGTCATCGTGATGTATCAAACTCTTTATATGAAAGTTGATTCGTTCAACAACATAGAGATCTTTTGAGTATTTTTTTCGCACAGTCCCCTAAAAGACAATAAATTTTAAGTTCTAAAAATTGAATTCAAAGGTCGAGAAGTAATTTCTTACTGGATAGAATAATCCGTCATCGTCCTCCCATCTGCATACTACATAAGTCCCTAATGCTATAATACGCTCTGTTGTTAAAGGAGGTGTGGGCGAACGAGGCGTTATTTGAGATGAACGATTCTGAGGACGAATTTCAGGAGTGGTAGAAGGAGATCTTGTCGGTGTTGGTATTTGAGAAAATTCACTTTTAGTTTCTGGTAGTATCGTTGATGGGTGATTTTTATTATCATTCATAATAGCTATTTGTTCGTCTATTTTCTACAAAAATATTGCTACATACATTTTTCCCGTATTTTCTAATTTCATTATCTATTACTTTTTCTAGGTTTTTATAACGTTTCTTTTCGTCTTTTCTCATTCGTTCAAGTTTTTGTTGCAATGCAATAATTTTTGCATCAATTTGTTCTGAAATATGAAAAAAGTTTTCGAATATACTAAACACAACCCATGAAATATTTGGATTCTCTTTATACCTAATCGAATTTCATTATCTGATTTTTTCACTATTTTATTGTCATCAATTATAACAGGTCTAAAACAGTATGTAGTTTTATTTTAATGGTAAAAATAGTTACTAACGTTTTTACTTACGGTGTCACTCTTTGAATATAAATACATATACGTTGATACAATCCTCTGCTAATTTTCATCAAATCGTTTCGTCGAGCATTTATCTAAGATTATTATGAAGATGTAAAAACTAGTATTTTATATTTAACATATGTTTTTATACTTACCAAATGTATTTCAGATGAATGTATTTGGACTGTATAGAATTGTGGTGGTAACGAATATAGATGAGGAAGAACGTAAACAATTGCCGGTAACCATCGTTCTACACTACCTTCATAATTACGTACGAGAACACAATCATTAATCTAAATATAATGTATCATCATATAGTACTGTAATTAATAAGAAAAATTTTCGTCATGCTGTACATATAATGAAGGTTGAGCAATAGCTCCACTTATTGGTATCACGAATTGTTTGTCTAGTTCTTGTTCAAATCCAATATCAAGTAAAACATTAGCCCGACCTTCTTTTGTCCTTTGTATTATACCTAAATAAATGTACTAACACTCATTATTTAATTTTAAGATTCAGCTAGATCAAAATTCAAGTGAATTTTATTTTTTCGATTTTAATACATATTCTGGTTCGTCTTTGGACGCTGATTCCGAATAACACATTCCGAACTTCAAAAATCCTTTTCTTCGTGGAGAAAA